ATAGGTTGAAGCTCCAGCGAATGAAGGAGGTAAGTATAAGTAACATTTTTGTGATTTTTAGAAAGACGATTTTAATGTTGAAAAGTTACGTGGGGTCTTGCAGCAAAAAAATTATTTAAAATGGTATTTTGAGATGAGATTTGTTCAAAATCACCGCTACCGGTATTTAAATTTTTCAGTAATCTCACTTACTCCCTTCATTCACTGGAAGCTTTTTCAACTGTGAAATTTTATCGCAGGGAAAGGCTTTTTTGAGGGTTAGTTGTTAAACAGAGTACAACAAAAACAAGAGAAAGAAAAGGATAAGTAGGTTTTAATCAATCCCATTAGTGGAACGTGCCAATAACATGTTTTAAAATTGTACTTTTCGTGCCTTTTTTTCTGAAAAAATGTCAATTAAGGAATCAAAATTAACCGTGTAGGCAACTACACTTTCGATTGACAGAATGGCCAGATTTGTCAATCTTTCCTGCGACATGGTCGACCGCAGATAATTTTTGATGAGCTTTAACTTACTAAAACTGCGTTCACAGCTAGCGGAGGTTGTCGGCAAAGTGCAATACAAACGCAAAGCGATCGTGACATTTGGGGACGCATCTTTCAGGTCATTTTTCGCAATTAAATTCAGAAGGTTAAGAGGGCTCAATTTTTGAAGATTGCCAGATCTGGCTTGTACCCGAAAGACTTCTGTGGAAGGTGGAATTTATCAATCCCAATTTTTCCCCTCTCATCTCTTCTAGTTTTTTGAAGGAGCTGGCCAGGGTGACGAAAGACACACAGTGTGAGTGTGTGTGTAGCAAATTTGTAGGAAGTGTGAGTCACACCTTGCATCCGCGGTCCGCGGTGCGGCGCCGCGCCGCTGGCGCAGCGGTACCTAGACCATTGATTCACTGACCACCTCCCTTTGTTTCGTAAAACATTAATCTCCGAGATCGCTCCATTCGCACTGTTGCGAAGTTCTAGATATCTACGAATCGTCATTTAAAAATATAATATTCTTGCAGTTTTATTTATGGCGAAAAATTGATACCCCAACATCTTAAAAGCATCAAGTTCAAAAACAATAGAGAGATATATGAAAAAGCTATCACGACTTTCGTTCAATGATTTTTACCTCAAAACTACTGAGAGATAAATTTTTAAACGTATCTTGCTTTTGATCACGCATGCCTAAGGCTTACTTATTATGAAAAACATTGAACGAGAAGTGCGATCTCGCGGACGCTCGCTTTCTGTATGGGAGTTGATATATAATCAACTCCGCAGCGCGAAGCTGATGGGTTCAGCAGTCAGCCTTCTGCGATACCGCGGAGTTGCCAGGCCGAGTGAGACTGTACGTAAGGACGAGGCGATAACCAGATGGTAGACCATGGCAAGGGCGGAGTGCGTAACGGGCCCCGCTCCGCCAAGTCTGACTGCCGACCCACCCTTTTCCCAAAAATTAATTCAATTTTCCCGTCATTTTACACGAAAGAAATTCTAAACTTGTAAACGGTGGAATCTTGCAATAGGTTAGTTCGGCTGGTCACAGAATCATGCTCCTTGGAGGATACGAAAACTGACAAATTTCGCCCCTTCTTTCTATGATGTTATTCCTGTTTCGGAACGTACCTCCTTTCTTCCTCTCCCTCCCTCCCTCCCCATCTCTCTCTCTCTAAAAAAGTCATTGCCATTTTGGCGCCCCCCCCCCCGCCTCGTCTTCTTTCATAGCTTAAGTTTACAGTCATCACTCATTGTTATTTTAATTTCGTTCTTTCCTTAAATCTAGCGCCTTTTTCACCCCCGAGTTAGCCTCGTTAACCCATCAGAATTTATTTAACGATTCCGTGTGCATTAAAAATATTGGAATTTTTAATGCATACCTTTAATCTTGACGCCTTATGCTCAGTGCTGACTTTGACTTCAGCTTTCAGGTGCTCTTCAGAAGATATGAAAACTGACAAATTTCGCCCCTTTTTTCTAATGTTATTCCTGTTTCGAGCTTTGTGGGGATTAGGCGTCGTAAAGCGCCAAAGAGCGCTATAAAGGCGACTCATATGTATGTAATCCCGTTTCGATGTTCGTAACCTCCCTCTCCTCTTCCCCCTTCTCACCCTCCCTCCATCTCTCCTCCTTTCTAAAACAAAGTCATTGCCATTCTGGCGCCCCCCTGAAGTGGCGCCCGGGGCACGTGCACCCGCTTGCGGACTCCCCCCCCCCTTATATCCAGCCCTGCTTACAGCTACCCTCTGAAAATTACATAAGGCTCCCCCCCTTCCTATTCAATGATGGAAGATCTAAGCGTTACATTTTCTTATAGAGAAATAATGACGATTTTAGGACGAAATTTGTATTAGTGAAGCTAATTTTTTGCAGTAAGTTCATAGGAAACTAGCCATTATGGGGGCGCTTTGCGCTTTACTTTTTAAGAAGAATATCGGTGGCGTAGGGGGTCCAAAAACAGCCCAACGATAGTATAGTTCGAGTTCCGAATCGCTATGTGCCCACTTGTGTTTATTTCTCATAGTTACATTGCATCATGTGATTGCCAACTTACGCGGTCGAATTAGTTTAATAAACACAAATACGTGGAGCAAAATTAAAGTTTTTTTTTCCGTGTTTGGAATAGTTAAAAGTATCAAGTTGACGTAAGGGTGACGTCACTTCTCATCTTCTCACGGAGTAGAGAGAGGGTATCAAGAGAAATGAAAGGAGCAATGGAGCATTGTTCCATCGGTAAGCAATCGGGAGTGAGCTGATTTCCTCTACATCATCTTGAATTGTATTATCAACCTGGCGAAAAATGTGTTTGTGCATTTTATTAAATACGTATTGGCTGAAAAGCTTACCTACGGCTCACAAGGGGAGTCTACGAAGTGACATCCTGGGATTGGGTTCATTTTGCTTGTACATGAAGAAGAGACAAATCTAAGGTTGACGTATTTTTTTTTAGCCGCCAACTCCCAACCGTTCTCGAGATTTCGATTTGTAAAGTTACGATTTTTGCACGTTTCCGCGCGGAGTTCCGGCGAGTCAACTGAGCGCCGGCAAGCTGCACGAACCGCGTTTCCTATCAGCGCTGCAGACCGGCCATGTTTATCAACAGTTCCGTGGCCGAGTGGTAGAGCCTTACGTAATCCTTAAAGGGGGGGGGGGGGTAAGGGATGCCTTACGGCACCTTATGAGGGGGAAGATGGTGTAAAAATGGGGAAAAGTGCCTTATGTAAATTATGGATGACCCCTAACATTTTCAAACCCCTGCTCCCTCTGAAAGGGATTAATGTGCAGGATACTTTGCTGGAGGAGACAGACTCAATGGGATACTGATGGAGCTACATCCAAATTACCGCTGTGATCGCCGAACTCATTTTGTCACTTAGAAATTCTGTAGAAAAAGATTTCTATAAATGTAGCCAAGCTTTTGACTGACATACCTAACTTGAAATTTGATTTCTTTAATACAGTATTTACTATAATTTAGCCTCTGATGAGTAATTATGGATAATTATTATAATTGGAATACACACTCGTATATTGACCATGAGGTGCTTTGAGTCATGGAAAAAAGAAGGGGGGAGGTTGGGTGTTGTTAAGATTTGATGTCTCATATTAAAAAGCAGGCTGCTTATTGAAGCACCTTTCGGGTTACAGGTAAATCAAAAGTTGATAAATTAAGTATTTGGTTTAGATGAGGAATGTATATACCTATAAATTAAGTTCAAATCACACTATTCAATATCAATTCCAAAAAATGGCGATGTCAATTGTAGGCTTGTCGACAAACAAGATATTTTTTTAACAATCAACGGACTGGTTTCATGTTTCTTTCTAGATATGAAGTGACTAATGGTGTACCTAATGGTTGCATTAGAAAAGTATCATGCATCGGAATTCAACAGTATTCAATTTCAACGATATCCTAATTCATGACCGTAATATGAGAAGATCTTGAATAAAGTATCTAAGCATGGGGTGACTGCGGTAACCAGGCCCGACACAAGGAGGGGGGGATACTGGGTCCCTGGTTCCGGGGACAGGGCCCTGGAGGGGCCCGTGACACTGGTGAAAAACCTATACGAATTCACATGTATAGCCCTTGACTCGTAAGGAAAAGTGAAAATTTACCCTACAAATTTCGCAAAAGGCGAGTTAATTTTCAAAAACACGCTGGGGCACTGAAAAAGTTTTCTTACTTTTTTAAAGATTTCTATCTGCTTTCAAGACTTATAGTATAGATTGATATTTTAAGTAACTGCGTTTCATTTTCTTCCGTCGTCGGATGCTGAGAGTCTCCAGTCTGCGCATCCTTGACTCCAATGGCTCAACTTCCACGCCATAGAAGTACGGAAGAGGAGTCCAGGGGGGGCTTTAAACCCCTAGAATTAAAGATAGTATCATCTCCCCCCCCCCAAAAAAAAAAAATTTCCAAATGTTTTGAATGCAACAATCCGAAAGTATTTTGTGCTAAAAGTAAAAAAAAAAGGGGTAATATTCTGCAGAAACTGATGGGAAATCTCCTTCATGGAAATTTCAAAATGCGTCCAAGTAGATTTAAAATTTTAAAAACTTTCCGGAGAAGGCCCTCGAACCCCCTCTATGCTGGGGGCCCGGGCCTTAATACTGGTACTAGAGGGCCCGTGATGGGATGTGGCGGGCCTGGCAGTAGCAGCGGTTTGAAATCTAGTATCAGTTGCACGTGGGCGAATTGTTTTCCAATAGTAGAACAGGCAATCAGGAATAATTGCTGAAATTGTTGGTTCATCTTGTAATTTTAAATACTACTTCCCAAAAAATTTTACAATTTAGTAGATTGATTTTGGGTTTGAGAAGATACCCTGGGGGGTGGAGGCAGATGAGAAACTAGAACAGTTTAGCGTCACGAATAGATGTGAATTAATGAAACATCAAATTTCACGGGTAATCGCAGCCCCTGGGCGTGTAAATAGGAACGAAGTACGTACGTATGAGAATTCCTGTGATAAGCAAGAATTAAGGGGAGGCGGATATAATTCAAAACGTACCTTGAATCTGACAGATCGGTACGCAAAATTGAAGAACATAGGTGCACTTCCAGAAGATGATTATAGAGACTCCAATTAAGTAAGGCGATAATTAAAAGCACGTGATTGAAATTTGAATGCACTGTAACGGATCACTGATGATAAAAATGTGGATATTTCAATTGCACGACCGAACAAAATAGCTTCCCTTGAAAAAAAATTGCACGTAAGAGGGAACAATGCAGCACGTAGGTAAGTAAGTATGAATGGATAGGTAGGGACCATTCCTAGTTATGTGAGCAATTAAAACTCATCGGGTGCGCACACACTTGTCAACCGAACACCAAGGGATCTATGACGAATAAACTGTGCTACCGTATAGTAGGACCAATGTGAACTCGAGTAATAGGATTACGCGAGACGTTGCAAATCCGAACTTGAACACTTAAAGGTCGTCGAAGATGTGTGACTGGTGGAGTGTTTGGGCCAGGAGTGTAAAAATGAGCTCCGCACGAACGCACGGGCATAAGTCTCGGAGAGCCGCGGGGAACTGACTACTGATACGATAGCGGCGAATGGCGGTATCAGCACAGAACCGCCTGGCCGTTGCGGCAGGGGCGAGGAGGGCGACGGTGCAAGAGAGTTCTGAAGGCAAGAAGATTGGAGAGAGAGAGAGATGTGAGGGAAGGGGGGAGGGTGAACGGTAGAAGCTCCGACCAATGGATGAGAAATACCACGACCAATGAGAGCTCACTGTGGAGAGGGAGAGACAGGTCCTGAGCTTCGGGCCGTCTTTGACGCCTCTGCCGACAGTGCCGACACAGGGGCGACGCGAAGAGCCAGACAGACGAGTGGCGCCGAGCTCTGGCGAGCATACGACCGTTGCGAAGGCAGAGTGGGGGTTAGAGATTGACTCAGCGTTGCCACGTGTCGCAGCGGCATTCCCTCATTATTCACTTCGAGGGAAAATTAATTTGATAAAATCGAAAGGAGGGGTAAAGGGCCTTATTTAGCCCCCCCCCCCCCCCCATAATCTGGAAATTTATGCGAGTTCTCCAAATTGACTCAATACAGTTTAGAAATAATCATTATTTGGTACATAGACAATTGGATACGTGTTAAACGGTTGCCTGAATATACGTATGCAGGCGCATTTTGGCGAAAAATGCGTGTTTTTCTATCACTTCGAGGCTTTTTTGACACCGAGCACATCGTCTGATTAAAACCATCTTTTGATATGTTATCAACGAAGATTTAGGGCAAATTTTAACCCTGCTTTGGTTTCAGTTAGATGATGTGCTCATAGTTAAAAAAAACTTTTCCAAAAGTCGACTTACAAGGGACATACGCAAAAATCTTAGGGAAATGCGTCGTTACGGTTTTTCTGGCAACAATTGAAGCCAATCACCTTGCAAGAGTCTAACAAGGCTTGATAACTGCCCTCGATAATATACGTGTACGTAGGATGCATACAGTTGGAGAGACGACTTTTTCTAAGATTTTGGTGGATGTCCCTTGTAAGTCGACTTTTGGAATTTTTTTTTTCTTATTTTTTAACAATGAGTACGTCATCTAACTTAAACCAAACCAGGGTTAAAATGTGCCTTAATGCATCCTTGATAACATATTAAAAGGTCATTTTAGACAGACGATGCCCTCGATGTCAGAAAAGCCTCGGAATGATGGAAAAACACGGATTTTTCGTTAAAATGCGCCTGTAGACGTATGTTTAGACAACCGTTTAACACGTAAATTCAGTGGTCTATGGACCAAATCATTATTATTTCCGTGAACTACATGGAGTCACCTTGGAAAACCTGCATAAATTTCTAGATTATAGGGGGGGGGGGGGGGGGAGGCCGTCTACGGGGGCCAAAAAAGGCCCTTATTAATTAAGTCGCTATCGATCATTACTTGAAGGGTGTCCGTGCGAAAAATGATGTTCTAAAATTTTAAAAGAAACTCAAAGGTATAGTGTGTCCACTTTACTACAAATATAATTGAATCGATACAATGTTTGATTAGATAGTGGAATTAGAGTGGATGCGCTGAGGTAGGATTTCGATACCAGGAGGGGCTTTAGCCTTATCCCGTGGCCCCTGGCTACGTGAGAGAAACAGTAGTATTTTAAGTAGTCATTTTAAGCTTTTAAATGAGTTGTTCCGCACGATAACTCTTTATTAGGTGCAAGATAGAGGAAATGATGAGGAACTCCCTTGCACGAAAGATTATTGAAATCGGCAGACGCGCGTACAGGGCTCCAGCTATCGTTCCACTCCTCTCTCTAATTTTGTCTGTTGATCCCAAGTGGGTACAAGAAGACGCTGGAAGTACCGAAGTGAAGGAAAAAAAGAGTAAAGGAATAAAAGAAAAAAAATTCATATCCACGCATATTCCTTTTTTACCACAGAACCTCAAGCTGTGTGATTAAATCCTGAGTTACGAAGAGGGACTATCGAATTCACATTTTAACCTATTTCTTTTTTTCCCCCCTATGTTCGCAGAAAAACCCCCTCATGAAAAAATCGCTTGAGAAACATGAGGACATCCGTTCCCAATGTGGGAATCCGCCATGGCAGGTGGTGGCGTCAGCCCTAAACATGCGTAAGTAATTATTGTTAATAGTAATCATGTTTATGGTTAAGTATAAATGAAGGGGAAAAAAAAACACTAAAAAATGGCCCTTGGTTAAGTATGATATGGACGTATTTCTATCAAACAGACCTATGTTGAGGTGAGAAATATGGGGTGTGCTCGCTAGTTCTCTGGCCGTAAGAGTGAATGAGAATAATCAAGCGCCAGTGACGTCAGCGGCAATGATGGAGCCAAGGCACGAGGGGGAGATCGTCGTCGGGGCACTTTAACTCATGAGCCCTGTCCACAACGCTCTCGTCCCATCTTCGCGGCTCATGAATCCCGCATTCAGTTGGCACATAGTTCTGTTTGATAGAATGTAATATTCCGCTTTTCCAATTCTTCAAAAGGAATCACGCCCTGTTTTACATTGTTCCTTATGCAGATTTCTAGAGCACACCCCATATTTCTCACCTGCTCACAGTTCTGTTTGATAGAAATACGTCCATATATACGTGTGCCTAGTAGGAGAAAAACCTGAAAACACACTCTTTCAACGACGAAGGTGGGTGAATTCGGCCAATAGAAGACTCCGCAGCAATGATTAGCGGTGTCCAAGCATGTATATCCAGGATTTTTTTCGGAAGAAAGGAGGGGGGAGGGGGTGCTTGATCGGGTGAGTGGGGTCCGAGTGTCGTTTGCCGAAAATCTTTTTGAAAAACTCCTATTGAGAACTGTCATTTTTCCTTTTTTTGCTTTCGGGGTGGGTGGCAACGAGACTAGGGGTGGCAAGAGGTGTGGGGGGGGGGGGGGAGTGAGGAGCAGTAGCTCCCTTATAATACGAGGGGGATGAAACATCAAGATCATAGAGAAAAAAAGGAGGTGTTTGCATTTCGGGCATGTCGAATTTTTTTCTATAACGTTCGGTGGTACCGTTGCGGTTCGATTTTATCATTGCTTTTCTTGGAAATGGTGTAGTTTATGGAAAAAAGTCAATCTGTAAAAAGTACTTAAGCCTTAAGGTGATTCTTCGAGCTATCTAACGCGGTTCAACTAGCATGCCATACACCGCATAGATCATGTCAAAAAACAATGACGGCAGGTTTTGAATTTAAAGCCAAAAAAAGGACGAAGGCTCCTGCGCATGAGCTTAAAGATTCATTTTAAACCAAAAAATGGGCAAAATTCAGAAAAATGAAAGCAGAATAGCGTTTGGAATAACACCTCGCATTCCATACAGAAATCGATGGCTTAAGCGAATGCGATGTTTTTTTTTCCAAACTCTATTCTGCTTTCTTTTCTCTCAATTTTGCCCATTTTTTTGTTTAAAATGATTCTTTAAGCTCATGGGTAGGAGCTTTCGTCCTTTTTTGCTACAAGTTCAAAATCTGAGTTGATTTTTGACCTGATCGATGCGGTATACCTATCCCATGGGAGTTCGACCATGTTAGCGACCTTGACGAATCACCTTAATCACAGAAAAATTTAAAAGATGTACATAGGATGGATGTGTAATTCTACCCCGATGCTCATCCAAGGTTGCAGAATCCTCAAATGGATTGAAAACCTCAAATAGGTAACTTACAGAACATATAAAAAACAAAACAAATGAAGAATGTAGGTATGGATAAATAAAAATAATTAAAATACAGAAAAATGAATGAAATTTTCTACTGTAAGTGGTTTTATTGGGTAGGTAAAATAGGAGGATTTTTTCACCAGTTGGGACAGGGATCACGTGAGGATTTGTATATAGGTACTCGAAGAGAGTTTGAAGTAGAACACTCATTAGATTATATTGGTTTTGTTTGTCCCTCTGCTTCCTTCGATTTGTTTTCATTTTCACCACCAAACCCAAAGACCCAGTTAGATCAAAGTACACTCTACTACAGATATGGACAAATGGAATTTTAGAAAGTCGTCAAAACGCGTAGATTTGACAGCATCGAGAGTACGACTGCTAAGACATACGCGGCAAATGGACGGTACGACTTCATACGTCACTCGATCGCCAATTTTCTCAGCGCTGCCACTTCGGCACCCCGTTTGTCCATACCTGTAGTAGAGTGTACCCTTGCAGTTAGGTGGCCCACTACTCAGCCAAGTGTGACGGTGAAGGGTGCCATGCTATGCAGTGGCTCCACCCCTGAATCAGCCTCTGGGCGCCTCCCTCTCAAAACGGGCCCATATGTGTAGTGACGATTGGTCACTTTGTAAGGAGAAGATTCAAGAGTGAAGTCTTTGCATCTTTCTTTTCAACTTTAAGCCAATGAAATTTCTGCTGTGACTGACGGTGATGGACCTATCGCGACCTCTAGAATTAGTGGTCCATTCATCATTGAATTTGGATTCACAAGGATTGTCGGTTTCAATACATCACATTTTGATATGGTTTTCATATTTTGGGTTATCTAAAAGTCAACTATCACCCTCGCCACAATCACTTTTTTCCTAATTGAGCATTTTGCTGTATTGAATTACCTAAAAGTTCCTTCTAATGCGAACCACGCTAGAAGTGATAAAAATCTTCGGAGGTTGGGCCGATGAGCGGCGGGGTGGCCCCTAATAGAATTAAACACTCTAGACTGAGCAGTAGCGCAGCTAGGAATTCTTTAATGAATAATGAATCCATTAAAAAACGTGACGGTTTTACTTCATTTTGAGCACGTCTCTGATAATATTTTATTTCTTCCCTCTGTAAGTAAAAAAAGGTACAATTAACGAGGCAAAGGGGGAGGGGGTGCCCAGCCCCACGAACCCCCCCCCCTCCCTCCCAATTGTCTACGCCACTGAGATTAAAGTAGGGTACATCATCATCATCGTTCCTTTATAATAATCACGCACATTAACAATTAGTGTATGATGAAGATGTAGTGGGATACTTCAAATTTTACGCACTTACCTGAGTTGGACGACGTTCAGCAGAAAGGAACAAAGCCACATCAGCTATTATAAAATGTAATAATAATTGGGCAACTTAAGTTTTTACATAAAAATGGTTCTGAGGGTTTTTGTGTAAATTTCAGCGGATTGTCTAAATAGTTAAAAGGACATTCCATACATTTTTCAAAATAATGCGCACTAAGGTTCTCTTTTAAAAAAAATTAAGTCGCCCAGTTAAATTGGGCAGCAGCTGATGTGGCTTGGTTGCTTTCTGCTGAACGAGGTACATTTGATATTACCAAACATTATGGAACTTACAATAGAATGGGGAACACAGAAAAGGGTTACTTAATTATTATTGATTAGGTGCCATCCATAAATTAGGTACGTAAGGCACTTAGGGGGAAGGTGGGTCTCTAACAGCTTTACGGTGCCTTACGAAGGAGAGAGGGTGAATAGGGCTGATCCTCACGTAACCTTTCCAGCATGTATTTAAATAAATGCAAAAATCAATTTTTCGTCAGGTTCATAAATAAATTAAGATGATATAGAGGAAATCAGTATTGATATTGGAGATCAAACGAAATGAAAAAACACAGTTATAGTAGTATAAGGATGAGTCTCACCGGCCCCGAGATAGATTTATTCAAGAACTTTTCATAGCGCAAACGGACATACATCGAACGCAAACCGACATCAAGAGAACACACTCAGGGGGGGGGGGGGGGGGGGAAGGGGTCAACCATAGAAGGGATAAAGGGAAAACCTAAAAATTCCCACAAGACTGAAAAATACCCTACACGTACTTCAACAATCAGCACATCAACGATTGCTGACAGAATGGACGCTACTCCTTTCATTTCTCTTGATCCCCACTTTTCCACTACAAGGGATTATGAGTAGTGACTTCATCCTTATGCAGAATTTATACGTTTAACTATTCCAAGGACAAAAAAAAATATCTTCAATCTCGCTCCACGTACCTCTGATTATCAAACTAATTATATCATTAATATTTCCTATGAACTTACTTCAAAAATGAAGTTTCACTAGTAAAAATTTTGGCCTAAAAGTCTCATTCGTTTTCTAAAAGAAACAATAGTGCTTAAATAACGATAATTGAAAAAAAAAAAAAGGGGGGGGGGTCAGTCGAGCCTAACGTAATTTTATGAGGGGGTAAGGGATGCCTTACGGTGAGTTACGGGAGGGAAGGGGGTTGGAAATTTGGGAAAAGTGTCCTATTTAATTTATGTATGGCCCCTTAAAGAAATCATTTCTTGCGATGAGTAACGCATCATCTGCCGTTTTTTAGTGAGTAAATAATATTCATGCAGTTAGAGTATAGGATAGATGGACAATCAATGGGTATAAGCACCGGTACTTGATTAAGATCTCCAGGGTTTAATTTTTTACAATCAGCAGATTTTATAATCAATTTAAGTTAAAATCATATAAAAAATATGTTTCAGATCAAGGAGACGAGAATTTAACGATTAAATTCCTCCGCTCCAATGAGCCGCAGGAAACCTCGGCTCCGGCTCCGGCTCCGGCTCCGGCTCCGCACCGCCCACGCCCTTACGCTCACCAGCACCAAAGCCGGGCTCATGGGCACAGCCATTCTCACCACAGCCGCCACAGCAATTCTCACCCCAGTACAAGCAGAGGACCACCGACACCACACAAAAAAATTGAGCTCTTCACAAAAAAATGGATCAAAAGAGCCGAAAACAAGCAGCCTGCTCAGACGAGGCTGGAGGGGATGCGGACAAAGTTCCGCAACGAACGGGAGCCATCTCCTCCACCTCGTAAGTTGGAAACGTTATTAACATTATTAGTTTCAGAATCCTGGAGAGTCTGCTTTATTATGCACTAGGTACCAGTGTTTGAAACTCACAGGCGCCAACGCGCCAAATGGGCCTAAACATCGGGCATGACGCCTTAAGAATGAAGGATCTGCGCCAACGCGGCCCCTAAAAATTGCCCCCTAAAAATATGAATTTTCGTATCAGGTGATTGTTCGAAATTTTCAGCACTACAAGTGAAAGCTTTTTCTATTATTCACGATTTCATCCTTTGTGCTTTTGTCTTCCCCAAATTACAGCTACTTACTAGTTCTGTTACGAAGACACTTTGCATCTAACTTGTTATAAATACGCCGTAATATCTAGGCAAAAAGTCAATTTGGCCCCTGAAAAATCTTCAATGGCGCCTAAAAATCGGGCTTGATGCGTCACTTGGCTCTTAAAACTCAAAGGTGAGTTTCGAACACTGCTAGGTACTTCCACGTAGGTATATAGTTTGCTCGGGGCGTGCCATTACGCGATATCGCGAAGATTCAATTTACAATTAGAGAAATTATAAAGAGGACTTGAGATGAAAAGGAGAAGCCCTCGGCGCGGCGATAGGCATGTAACACATATTAGAGCCTACACTCCCACAAGACTGCACGAATACTTCTCGCATAGAATCAAACACAGTGCGGTCATTGCGGTCAGCGTGAAACGGACAGCGCCTACAAGAATGCATGAATACTTCACGCATTGCGCCGAACACAGTGCGGTCAGCGTGAAACGCATAGCGCCTACAAGACTGCGTGAATACTTCACGCATTGCGCAAAACACGGTTCGGTCTGCGCGGCGCGACGGCGGAGGTTAAAATCATTGATCTACATTTATGTTTGTTCTTTCATAATTTTTTCGTTCATTCCTTAAGAATGGAAGGCCTTGTCCACGCACAGATAGGTTTACGGAACTTAACTTTCGCGGAAAGTTCCGTGCTAGTATAGTGTTGACAAGGCTTTCCCAGAAAATGTGTTCAACACGAGTAAATGCATCTTATGCATCTCCCCCCCCGACACGTTCATTTGATGGTTTTTATCGAGTTTCAAAACAGATGAGAAAGGGGCGGCAAAATACAGGCGGCCCATGGGCGGCAAGTAGGTGAATCCGGCCATGATCAAAACATCATAAAGAAATCTATTCAATCGTTATCTGCTTTTTTTCGCAAAATGTAAGTTTACTATGAATGTTAAAATCAAAGCAGTTCTTCAAAATTTCATCAAATTTTTTTGGAGTTGCAGTATATGCCAAAGAGAAGGGTGGCGGATTGAGATGCATTGATGCCGAACCGTCTATCGTTTAAAGTAGACGGACATCGGCCGAAAAGGGGTTGCGCTGGTGTCAGCGTGTGCCGGAAAAGCCTCAGGTCCAGACATCCTCGTATCGGGCCCCCACTTTAATTGCGGGAAGTTGCATCGTCACTTTTGCCTTGTCTTCTTCTTCTTTTTCATATTTATTTTTTGTGCATTGAAATTAACAAATATTTGATTGGTTTGTGACGAAAAAGGCGAAAGGATATGGCATCAGCAGAATTCCTCAGACTGCGACACTGTGCCAAACAAATGAAAATGGTCGAAACATTTTCAATCCAAAAGCTACTCGGACCATCGCTCGCGCCCATTCATTTACCGGGAACTACCCCCATTTTCAACCGAGATTTCACTGCGAATCGCGAACCTATACATACTTATCCTTCCTCGTGGACTGTAGAATCGACTTTGAAATCACGCTGGGTGAAATACAGCGTGAAGGCATGGAAAAATCTACCAATATTTTTTTCTCGGTGTGCTTTATGATTTTTCATTTTAATTTTAATAATATATGATTTTTCTGTAATAGGTTCTGACAGGAGCAGAAGCCGCGACACTCATCGCCGCGACACTCATCGCCGCGAAACAAGCCTGTAAAGAGGTCGGAAAGCCACATAATTGGAGATGGTGTTCCCGACGTTTGTTATGCAAAGAAAAGCTGCAGACAAATAAATATTTTTTTAATTACGATTACTCGGTAGTGATTCATTGTTGCCTGTTGAATGAGCCATGACTTTTTATTCTGATCCAGTTGTTTAAGTGCCTGTCATGTTCATAATTTTTTCTAAATTTATGTCTGTATATGCACAGACATTATGCAGGTGAATTAGGGTTAATGATAATTTTTTAGTTTCTAAATCGTTCCACTATATTTTTAATTGTGACAGATCTCCATTTTTACTGTATTTTAATGGATAGGATAATTCTATAATACCTACCTCAACGATTTTTGGAATCATACATGTCTCAGTAAAGAAAGTTTCTACAGAAATTTATTCTCTTTGTTTTGAACACTTAACCCTATTTTTTCAGCTCAACTCACAGGTATATTGCGCTCAGCTTTTCATGTGAGCATCATGATGTCAAGCAAGAAGGACAGAATCGAATGAAAAACCAGAAGAAAATCTGTACCTATCTTTCGACATATTCAAAATCTCTACCAACTTTTCTTCAAGTTTTGATGAAAGTTCAAATTTAATGCAGAATTCTCAATTCATCTGCTGAAGCATGTTACTTCACCTTTATAAGGCTGACTTTTACCATCAACATTTGAATGGAGTCTTATAAATTTCTGTCACCGGTAAATAGGAATTAACGGTGTGCAGGGAAGAAATGCGCTGCCATACGATCTGGCTTTTCTTACTTTGCAACCCAAGTAGCATTTTTCAACGGAATAATCGCGATATTCCGAAATAAAATTGCTATTTTTTTACGATTTCATCGGCGATAAAATCGCTAGGATCATCAACATCTGAGCGATTATCCTCGATCATCGCCCGAAAAAATTGCGATTTCATCGCGATAAGATCAAGTATAATCGCTCAGATGTTGATGATCCTAGTGATTTTATCGCCGATAAAATCGCTAAAAAATGGAGATGGCGCTGTCAGCCGACTTCCGTCAGGTTCAGCCGTCGGATCCTTTGAACAAGACGAGCGTAAAATCCCCGGATCCTCCGCGGGGATTCGAGCCCCAATCGCCACGGTGGAGGTGGAAGGACAGCACTTTGCCGCTAGGCTATGGCCCCTACATGACTAACGATGGCGAATTGAAACCTCCCCAAGCAGCACAGATTGCAATAAGTGGCAATTACAATGTAAAAATATTGCAGTTCCACTGAGTGTTGTGTATGTTGCCTAGCTCCTATTTGAAGGGGCCCCATTTATTGAAACTTATTGCAATAAAATTGAATTAAGTCGCAATTTTTCAATGCATTGCATATTTCCTATCTTTCTGACAATGGAGCTCATTTTGTTGATTGTTTAAAATCGGCAAAAATCAACTAAATAATGTAAAAATATTGCAATTTAATGTTTAAAAAAAAAGTACGATTTTATTGAAATCAAATTGCACTTTAATTTCAATTTTTTGGTTGCACTGCGCTACTCGGGTCTTAGGTGGATCGGCGCTTCGCAACATTACAACTTTTGACATTGCGTAGACTGACACCAAGTTTTCATTGAAATTTTTTTTTTTACTGTCCCTCCTCTGTATTTCATTTCATACCTTGAAATACGGTTGGTAAAATAAGGTTCTATTGGTGATCTCATCGTTCTGTCTCTGTAAAATTACCAATAATAGTGAGATGGCAAAGTTACCGATAGACCTTGGTAAAAACGCCAATATTTTTTATAGACTGTGGTAGAATTACCGAGTTAAAATGGTAAAGTTACCGGGAATTGATTAACAATAAAAGTGGTATTCTTACCTGAAAAAAATTAGTAAAAATACCGGTTTTTAGGTAAGCTTACCAGTCTATCTTGGTAACGTTACCAATAATTGATAAAAAAAGATGGTAAAGTTACCAACGGACCTTGGTAAAAACGGCGGCGGCGGCGTAGAAACATCTTTCATAAGCGTCATTCATGCGTTAGTGGGCGTTGATGAAAAATCGCAATTTATTGTAATTTTATCTCCATAAAATTGAGTTCGATGAAATCGAAATTTTAATTCAATTTATCGCAATTTTTCTCCCGATAATATAGGGATGAATCGACGTCGATTAAATCGCGATTTTATTGCAATTTATGGAGATTTTTTATCCGATAATATTGCAATAAATCGCGACGTCGAAAAAATCGCAATACATTCTCCGATTAAATCGCAATTGATCGAGATCACTGCTACTTGGGAATGGAGATGTTGCATGTGTGAGGAATTTGCGATTTGACTGTTAATTCTTGTGTAAAAATTTGCGAGAAACACGATGGTGCCACTGATTTTCTCTGAGGTCAACTCCCAAGCTCAAAAAAAGCTCTCGAATTGAGGTCAAAATGGAGGGGATATCCCGCGCTATCCTGAGAGTCCGCCTCTACATAAGACGAACCCTCCATGCAAAAATGGGGAGCAAAAACTTTGACAGGGCTGCCACTTAATTTTGAGCTTCTGAAATTAAAAACACGACAGCCATGCTAATGTATTTGCCCCCTATCTTTGCATTGGATTGAGAGTTCGTCTTGATGTAGAGGTGGACTCTCAGGATAGCGTGGGATATATCTCCTCCATTTTGGCTTTAACTTGAGAGCTTTTTGGAGCTTATTGGGAGCTGATTTCAGAGGACACCAGAGGCACCATGCTTCTCGCGAACTTTTACACAAAACTCAATAGTCAAATCACAAGTTCATCCCACCTGCAACATCATCATTGCAGGTAAGAAAAGCCATATCATATGCCAACGAATTTCT